ATCTTCAGTGTTGGATCTCTATCTGTTTAATTGTCTTGGTCTGACAAAAGCATAAGAAGTTGCCCCTTGTCATGCCTCCTGTATTGCTGATGTGATTGCACTGCTGGATCAGGCATTTTTGACAGCAATGGTTTTAGTATTGCAAGCAAAATGAACAGACTTTATTGTTGCACATGTGTTGAAAATCTTTACCTCCTCTATTGAAAATCCTCCTCCTCTGTTTGTTGTGGGTCTTTTTGGTGGTGTTATTTTTAAGTGGAAACTTAAATTGCTTTTTAGAATTATGCTTTCATCTGTGTCTGGCTTTTCCCCTGCTCTGTTTGCTCTTGAGTCCCCAGAATTAGCAAGAGTAATGTTCTAGTTTGCAGTGCAGTAGGAAAGAATAACTTAACTTTCTAAAATGTAATAAACAGTACAAGACCTGGAACAAATACAAAACCTTCAGACAAGGTGAAAGCCCCCAGAAGAATACCTCTATTCAAAATGTCTGTGGATGTCTGCAAATACTGCCAGGAGCTTAAGTCTTGTCCTTTCCCTTTCCAAACATGTGTATTAGGTTTTTCTTTAAAAATACATACTGTATCCTTGAACTCTTCCATGCTTCTAGTCAAAGAAGGTAGTATTTCCTTTAGACTAGTTGATTCATACACAAAATAAAATCTGTGAGACATTATTTTGGTCTTGGTTATTTCTCTCTTGTGATATTGGATGGAAAACAGTTTTCTGAAATATTCAAGCTTTGGAAAACAGCAAATGTTTCTAGTTATTGAGGGTTTTAAAATGTGGGCTGTAGAAATAAAGTACTCTTAATTAAGCTTCTTTTAGAATAGATTCATCCCCCATTTTGTCTTCCCTTCTTTGCAAATTCACTGCTTTCAGCAAGAATCATAAATAGATGAAAACCTACATGCTTTACATTAAATATTATCTGAAAGCAAAACAAAACCCCAACAAATTTCCTGAGGAGAAAATACAACAGATGTTACCTGGCTTGACACCTCAGGAATTTCACTGGGTTTAAATCTGTTTCTAACTGATCCTATCTAGCTTTGTTTAAAATGCCACTTATCCTCAAAGACGTGTATGTGCTATGCAACTAATCTTCTCATAAGGTCAGCATTGTGTGAAGTTTCTCCTGTGAGTGAGTTGTTGTCCCCTGAGGCCAGTTGTCAGCCCACGGGAATAGCTTCATTCCCCAGAGCAGCCTTGTAGGCCAGGATATGGCAAACTATTCTGCACTGTGCCTTTGATAATAACCAGATAAATAGTCTGAGCAACTATTGGGCTCTGCGTCTATCTCTGAACTGAGGGACCCAGAGTAACATGGGGTGCCATCCTTTTAATTTTTTTAAGCCCCTGTGTGTTGCTCTGCTGATGCCTCTTCATAAACAAAGAAGTATGGTAAATCTGCCAAGTCAACTTTATCTTTAGTCTCTTTCTCCTACTTCATTTCTCTGTTGTGTTTTGTTTTTAAATTGAAGTAATTGTGATCTTCCATCCCCTTGTTGTTTGCAACAAAATATCTGCTTTACAGACAGATCAAAAAGGTTTTATTTTTTTATAGGAAGCTCAGCTACAGGCTTATCTTTCCATAATGCATGTAGGTTAAATTAATGTAGATAAACCATTGTATCACACAATCTGTTCTATACCTATGTCTGTAAATGCACATGGATGACTTAAATTCTTGAATTTCTTCCTTAAATATGAGCTTTGCAATTCTTTTGGGGTCAAATATGATGGAGCGAGAGATTGTCTGGTGTTTAATGCGTCATCTGTTCCACCTGGGTAACGCCCATCTGTTTGAATGTCACAAGCGGAGGCTAATTTTGTAGCTGTGCTGTTGCCAGCAGCCTAAGAAGGATTCTTTGTTGCATTTATTTACTCCTTTTTATTTGCCTCGAAATCTCTGCTGATGACAGCCTGAGTTTCTCTCTGTGGTCTGTTGAGAACAATAGCAAAATCCCACTGAAATTTAACTTAATGGGAAGGAGTCATAAGTGCTCTAGGATTTATTCTTGGATTGCTTTAGTCTGATACCATCTTTTATTAGCTGATAATTTTATGTTCATTAATGACAAAGCAGTCAACCAGCATATCCTTTACAATAGAGATTGTCTTTACCTTAGTAGCTTTTTGTATTAAAAATTCAGGCAAGAGAGAATTCTCCCTGGGCCTCCAAAATGCGTGGAGAAGGAAGGAATGAATATAAAGATGATGGCCTCGTCATCTGATCTAGCCTCTTGAATTCTTTTGGATGTGCCAGCTCCAGAAATTCTTCTGACTTATTTTCTTGCAATCCCCTGTATATTCTGCTTCTAACAAATTCCTGTTAGAATGAATGCCATAGATCAGAAAATGAACTTGGTTTTGAATCACATTTGAAATTGGCAGGAAAGCAAAGGACTTAAAGCCAAACCCCACAACATCCTCATTTGTGAAATATTTGGAATCAAGAGCCCAGTGTTTGCTTCTGAGAAGAACTAGAGCTACTTGTGATTCGCTGCAATCAATCAGGACTTTCCAGTCCTGTGAAAGAAATGACACTGAAAATGGAGTGCATGTTAAGGCAGAGGCCCTGTGTAGCCGTGTCTGGAGGACAGTACCAGCTCTGGGTGGGACTGCCTCCCTGGTGGTATCTAGGGTAACGTATAAGCCAAGCCAGAGAATATAATGAGTGAATTTTTGATATTTGGGATACCTGTGGGAACCATGTGGCCTTCTCAAGCCACTGCATCGTCTAGTCCTACACTAGGACGACTCCAGTGTACCCTACAGGGAACTGCCTATAGGCTGTGCAGTCTCAGAAAGAACTGCTCTGAGGAAGGATATATTGTCAATCTTCCTTTCAAGGGAGAAAATTTCCATTCCCGTTTTTCTAGTTTTCCAGCGTTACCTAGCTTTTGTTAACCAAGTAAGCCGAGGCCCCATGTCTTACCTCCAGGTAGGTCTTTAAAGGTTTATTACTTCACTGTAATAATGAATGTCTGTTCATTGCCCTGCAGGTATGTTTGAGGCAGCAAAGATCTGCTGCACACAGTAACTATCAATGACAATTCTTTACAAGAAGTTTTGTAGTTGCTGCAATTACACCAGATAATCCCTTACTGTTACATCAGACATACTTCTGAAGGCATTACATATAGCTAATATTTCAAATTATACTCAGAGATTGATAGGATATGTATGTTGCAGACTGCATTGATCTGAAGCAACTCGGTTCCACAAGAAATTCTAGAGGTGAGTAACCACTTGAAGCCTAAAACTGTTTCACTGCTATTATTGCTTTCTTTTTGTATTTAAATCATGCAATTAATATTTTAAAAATTTAAAAAAAAAAGAAAAAAAAAAAAAGACAAATACGGACCTTATGCATTAACACAAAGAAACTGTTAAAAGCTGCATCCATGAGGATCTCTAGGCTGAGCACCATAACACAACCATTCAGCTAGCATGATGTAATTATAAATTAAACATCTCTAAATAAATTCCAAGTTGAAAATAAAATAAAAATCCTTTAGACTTCTGCTCCTTTCTTTATGGTGGAAGATCATAGCAATCTCAGTTTTAGAAATTATCATCTATCCTCCTTCATACTGCAAGGTCTGTGGTGTCTGCATGCTCTGTACAAGTGGGGTTTGTTGGAGGGGACACCTCATCAAGTATTGCTCAAGTCCGTATTTCATTCAAAGGAGACTCAATTCAGGAGGATTTAGAGCAAGTCTGATACTTACTTGGGTTTTTTTTAGAGATACTAGATAATGGCATGTAATGATATTCTACATTTATGACATATATAAATATGCCTTCTGGAAAATGGTATGTTCAGTTCATATCAACTAGATTCATTTAAATAAAGGGTCATTGACAATGATAATTTGAGACATAATCTTTTTATGCTTAAACTAGAACAAAATTTCCTCTTTCAGGAAAGTCAGCCAAATAATTGTAGCGACAACTTACGTTATCATTTACTGCTGTATTTCCAGACAGAGGAAGAGGAGCAAATAGGAACCTTAATTACTGAAAAAGTTAGAAAAAGAACTTAAGTCTTGTCAATAAACAAAATGGATGTTGACACAATGTTTAAGATTACAGCTGAACTTTTTTTTTTTTTCATGTAAACCAGATTTATTTTTAAACTTTCTATGCATGCTCCTGTCTTTCACAGGGTATGTTTCAACATGTTGCCCTCAGTTTCAGAGGTTAGATCCATATGTTAAATAGATCTGTCTTCTCCATCAAACCCAGAAGTATTCATTAGAGTTGAAGATAACTATAATAAAATTCTGCAGAATACAATTTCTTCACGTAGATCAGATCAATTATGAAACTGAATAAACAGGTTACTTTATGATGGAGCTTTGAAATAATTGCAAGAAAATGGTTTGACCAGTCAGGTATAAAATAGAAAACCAAACATTACACAATTCTTTGGAACCTTATAATTGAATTAAAAAAAAATAAAAAATCCTCTCCATCATATAGATGATCCTAAATGTACAACCTGTCACTAAGACATTTTGAGTAGGGAAAAAATGAGTTTTGTGAAGAGGAGCATAAACCTATGGCTTTAAGGGAAGGCTTGTCAGGTGAGTTTTCTATGTATATTTGGAGTCATCAAGAGTGTCCATGATAAACACAAGTACTGTAACAAATCTTAAAAATCAAGCTTTTGTGCTTGCTGATTAGATGTTTTGTTTTCCCCTTATTACATTGTTATAGAAATAGAGACCACATTTCATTGTGAATTTCTGTACCTGGTTTTGGAACTTTAACTCTAAATTTTTCTTAGACTTTTCAATACCTGTGAAGGGTCATGATTTAATTTCAGAATTCTGTCAGATGTGTATTGTAAGTTTTATTTTGATCATAACAGCTTTTGTTTCTGATTGTAAGCCAGTTAACTAAAATGTTTTCTGTTGTGTGATGCTTTCTTCCTACTTTTTTTTTTTAAAAAAAAAAGCTGTTGTATTCATAACAGCTTACCACTGCTCACTCTTAACAGGAAATTAGAGTTCTGAAATGAAAGTGATTTAAAAACAATAATAGAAAAATAATATAGCATAGTGACAAAGGTCATATTTGTTAATATGCCAAATATGTAATTCTGAAGTACTGAACAGGTGAGATTCTTGGTCCTGTTTCCAGGTGGTGTAAGAATACCACCAATGTATTTCTTTACTACAAAGGCAGGCTGGGGAAATAATCGATATTATTTATATCCAGCCTGGTCATCTCCATACTCTCCTCCCACTTTTCAGCTCTTCCTTTGTTTCCCAAGTGTGTTAAATCAGCAAGGCTTAGCATTGCTGTCATCTGGTCTATACTTTCTGGCTCTCTACCATCTGAAAAACTATTCTCTGGACAAATTGGATTCTGGAGTAAGTCTTTGTTTCTCATGGGATGACATGAACATCAGCAGCCCAGAGCTGTTGTGCTTAGTCAACTTAAAATGACAGCTGCTGTTAATAACAATTAGAACTTGCTAACACCAATTGCATGGATAACTTATGAAATAAATGCCTGCTTGTTCACTGGTTATTTAACTGAAGTAATGTATAGACTATCAAGCAGCCAGTAGCAGCAGTGACTCGAGAAGGACTATGAATCCAGCTAACTTCTCCACTTTCAATTCTCCAGAGACTGTTTATTGAGGTTTTTCACTCTCCAGTGAATAAGAAATGCTGAGTAAAAGGATATTACATAAATTGGCTGACATTTGCAGTGGACTAGCTAATTCTTGTCACCTTGTGTGTGTGGTGGCTGTGTGTGTATACGCACATGTGCCTGGTATTGTCAATGAGTTCCCAACCCACTCCCCCCTGCTCCCAACAGGCTGTTGTGAGCCTGAATTTTGAGGTTACATAAGAGACAATCCAGGAAAACACGCTGAGCTGTTTGGAATTTACCCTCAGCACTACCCTCTTTCCTCCGTTGTGTCATACACTTTTTTAAAAAAAAAACAACTTTTTGTTTTGTGGAGTGTTGGGTTGTGTCTCATTTGAAAAGGTTATGTCTGTCTGTCTTGAGGAGGGAATTGGGTATACCAGAAGACTTTTGCTTGCTTCTGCTTTCCATGGGCTGTGGCTGTAATTGCTGGAGTTAAAAACCTCTTCTTTTTCTTACATCTGGGACTTGAAGATTAACAAGGGCAATAATGCACCAAAGGGATATTAAAAAAAAAAAAGAGTTGTTAAGGCTGTATCTTTACCCTAACCCATAGAGTGATGCAACTGCCATCCAAATGGCACCTGCATCCTAGGAAACGCCTAGCAACAGGTACTGTGTCTAAGAATACTTATTCTTTTTCTTCTTTCTGACAAATTATTTGCCTTCAATATTGTGAGATTATGCATTATGGCCAGTGAAAATGGAGTAATTTCTAGTGAGAGTAGATTGATGTGAAAATCATAAAACATGTTCCAGTGAAAGAAATCACGTCTCATGCATTTCAATATGAACATCACTTTTTTGCTATGTGTAACCCTCCTCTGAGCTGTGCTATTTCTGGATGATGTTTTATATTCCTAGACATTTTTAAGGCTTTTTTTCAGCAAGTTTGGTTGGTCTGTCTTAAAACACTAGAAGCGTGTGACGGTAGAATTTTCTTAGACTAGGCTGGAATACAGTGTTATTTTATTACACATGATTTTTCTCTTTTGGCCTAGAACCTTAATTCCCATTCCACTGGAATTTCATAGTAAAGGTCTTAATGATATTTGGTTTTGCTTTTAAAAGCAGTTGGGATCAGACCACTCTGCCCTGCCTCTGCTTTGTAAGGTATTGAAAAGAATGCTTTTAAAAGTGGGAAAACTCTTAATCATTATGAGCTTGATCTTTTGCAGGTTGAATTCAATGACATTTAACTACAGCTAAATTACTCCCAGTACCACTGCTTTTCCAATAGATCAAAATCAGACATGAGGTAACAAAGAGCAAGCAACTACTTAACTACTTTGTTTATACTCACTTATACAACATCTGAATTCTGTCCCGTTCCATCTAGTCTACCAAGCTAATTGCATAGAACTTGTTATTTTCATTTATTGCTTACAGCGTGATTTGCCTTTCTTTCATGTAACCGTCCTAGAAAAAAGACTTGTGTCTGAGAGGTAGTGTAATTGTGTTTTCAATTACCCTGCATGGTAGTACATCGTTATATATGCTAATCTTTTTTTTAAAGACAGTATACAAAGGACATAAAGAAGCTGAAATGAAATACTTAGACTATTTACTGCTTATCTATTTTGTATGTGAATGGAAGAACAAAGCCTGCTTTACTAATTTTAAGAACCAAAACTATTCACCTCTGTCACCGCCTAATACGTGATATAGTAACATACATGCTGCAGCTTTTTTGAATTTGGTGTTGTGACTTAGACATATGGCAGCCAAAAGCATTTGTTTACGCCTTCTTAAAATTTCAGGGGCCTCTTCTTCTTCTCTTCAGAGAAATTACTTTCATCTGCTAAGTACAACTGGCTTAAGCTACAAATTATGGTGATTTTTTTTTTTTTTATACTGATCACTTCATCATTATCTCTGTCACATCTTTAATAGTTGTCCTTACTGCATGTGCTATACCCAAGCAGTTTCACATGCATAGGGCTAGGACTTATAGCAATAACTGGTTGGGAATTCAAATGTCTTAAAACCAATGGCTACCATGTTCAGTTGAAAGAGCCCAATAGATTTTTAAGGGGTTTAGATTGAGGCCTTAATTGATTCCACTTTTAGAGGTCTGAGATGCTTTATGGGTACTTAACTTGGAGACCATGGGAGATGTTGTCTGGGGTTCAACTGTTTAAGAATTGTAGACAAAATGGAGATACCTTAAAATATTAGTTTCTCTAGAAAGTTATGTGCAGTGTATTGAAGGTAAGAGTGTAAGGAAGGATTACAGAGAAGGTTTGATTTAGAGCTTGTCATCAGGATAACAACTCCATGATGCTTGCAACTGTGTCATCTGTTTGCCTTTATGGATCATGGAGACTTCTAGAAACCGGACAGCAAGAGTACACAGTATTAAACACTGCAAAACTTGAAAAGGGCTGGCTCTAGTGCTTACAGAAAAAGCATAAGAAAGGTTCTTTTATGGCTTTCTTAACCAAATGCCTTTGGGCTGCACTCAGTAGGCTATTTTACTTTATTTTATTTTATTTTATACTGTCTACTACAGTAGAAAGCTTGGTCTACCATTTCTTTCTGGTGACTGTTGGGGTGAGAACACAGACTGCATTCTCCTGCCTCAGAATTTTGGAGGTTTTTTGTTTGCTAAAGCTCCTTTTGTTTGCTAATGATCTCTGCTTCTTCATTCTGTTCTCCATTCCACAGCCACGGCTGGGAAAAGTATTTATGCTCATCTGTGTCTCTCTGGTAAAATCAACTACTAGGAAAAAAAAACAGCGTTCCATAAAACTAACTACTTAATAATCAATTTGTGTATGAGGTCATATTTTTATCTGAAAATAAGTATATGAGTTCTTTACATTTAAAAAAGTGGCAAGCAGTATGTAAGGAAGAAAGGAGACCATTGCTCAGCAAGTAATAATACCTTTTGGGCTACTTGGTACCACTACAAATAGTAAGGTAGGAAAAGTAATTGTCCTTTAAAGTCGTTTCCACAAATGTGCTTTATTAAAATGAAGTAGTGGGCATGGCATTGGTGTCATCTGATAGTATCCATAATGTAGGATTGTGACCTAGTTAGTGAAAACACATATTGCAGAAATTCTGTTCAGCACAAGCTGAAGTAATTTGATGTAGGGCTGTAAAGGCTCTTGTATATTTTTCTTGGGAACATGCAAGTGCTGTACATAAAAATATTGCGGTACCTTCATGTAATTGTGATCTGTATGCTAAAAATAAAATCTGGAGATGACTGCCAAAGAAGTCAGTGGAGAGGTGCAATTTCAAGGGTGTGAGTGAAAAGTAACGTCATAAATTCCAACCAAATAGGTGAGGTAGCCTGGGGATATATCCTGTCATGTCCTGTTCTTCCTTCCACACACTGCTGTGCAGGGAGACTTTTGCAGAGTGTTAACTGTGCAGTTAGCCTTTTCCTTTACATGGTAGACCCCTGCCTTCCCCTTCTTGAGGAACAACATCATGGTAGGTTCAGGAGGCCAGGGAATACAATAGGTTTACTCCCATGGGAAGTAAAACGTAAAAGAAATTATTTCATCACTTTCTCCTTTCTTGTATTCAGATCATCCCTGAACAAATTTTCTTACGTCAGTAAAAATGAGAAAGGATGTTGGCTCCGGAATTTTAAAGTGCTACTTAATATCACCGCAGTCTGGCTAGCAAACTTTAGGCTGTGGATCTGACTCCCACCACCCTCCTAGTTCTTGTCTGGACAAACAGCAAGTTTTCCCTCCTTGCATTATGAAGATCTGACCCCCAGCAGCTGACATCCACAACAGCACGCTCTGGCAGGCTGAAGCTCCTCAAGGGATGCATTTCATCTGTGCAGCTGAATGCGGATTGTTGGTGTTTTGTACAAAGCTCACCATATGACAGATTGCATCTTGCTTTCTCCAGGCCCACACAGATGGTGCGAGTGACTAACTGATGCCTTGACTTTGCACAGCCTACACACTGATGTCATAAGAAAAGGCTAATACCTCTGAGGTGAGTCTCCTTATTTGTTTGTATTCCAACAATAACAGTGGGAAATGCAACAATGAGGAAGAAATTAATAAAAGAAAAGCTCAACTTCTTATTAGGAGCAACTGACATAAAATGTGATGTGTAACCTAATGAAAAGAACCATCAATATTAGTTTGGTATTTTTTAAATAAATGAATCATTAGATGACAAAGCCCATAAATTGATTCATAAATTTGCTGTCACTGTGAAAACACTGAGATTATTCTGCCTGAAAAATTGCAATTCAATTATGAATGGAAATAACAGCTAAAATCCACCATTCCTCTTGGCCAAGATGCCTAGTGAATCTTACAAAAATAGACTTCTGAGCACTCAGTTATAACATCCTTGGGATTATAATACATGCACAGAAACATATGCACTAAAATGCCAGCAGGCCACCTTGATTTTATTAATGAATTGCTATCATTAATTGCAATTAATTTGACTTGCTGGTCTTTGGGGGAAATGATTTTAATATTGTTTGTTTACCAAGTTTTTTGTTGGTTTTACAAGTTACTTGTTGACTTCAGTGAAATGACTCAAGGTGTGCAATTAGTCAGAATGAAAGCCCTTAATATTTATGGTAATAAAGTTAGCCACGTATATTTTGTTACTTTTTCCTGTAATGAAGCACTCCTAGATGATGGATGAGTTTGCTATTGGTTGCTGTTGCTGAGGTAATCTACAGTAGTATCATCTTTAAAGAAGAATAGTTTTGTAATAAGAGTTCTGTGATAAAAGTTGTATGAGTTTTCAAAAATTGTTTCAGTTTTTCAGCTGTTTTGTCAGAAAGGAATTCATGTGAGCTTGAAATTGATCAGCTGAAATTCTGCCTCATTTCAAACAATTTCAGAGGAAGTCTTGTGACTGATTTTCTTCTAACGTTAAACTTGTCCAGATGCTTCAGAACAGTGTCAGTTAGAACTTCTGTAGTGAAAGGTTGGAGAACTGTTGAAAAGAAGATACCACACAATGCAAAATGGCCTCTCTTTTCCTTTGTTGTCATCCTTCAACCCTGAGGACAGCAGGGCCCAAAGTGATGTGACGTTGTGGGACATTGTCAGGTTGCCTGTGCTGGTTTGTGCCAGGAAGCAAGGGCTGTGGGGTGGCCTGAATAGCAGAGCTCCCAAGCAGAGCTGCCTGGAGATTGTCAGGCATTACCTGTTGTACGTAGGCAGGTGTGCCAGTGTGATGGTGATGGGCAATCTCCTAGGACTGGAGACTATCGCCGTGCCAAGAGAGCAGAATAGGCAGTTGGGAATACTGTGAGGAGGGAAAGTGTTAGGGGAAAGGAAAATTAAAAAGTCTATGGAAAAAACTAAGGTACAAGGTTATGATGATTGGTCAGGGAATGGGAACATAGGCTTTGAAGTTCAAAAAAGAAGGTAGGGATTAAGAAAAACTGGGGAAATTAAACCCATCTATTGAACACATGGCGAGAAGCCGTAGTGAAATGCAAAGGAAAAGTAGTCCAGAGGATAGAGCTTGGCATGAGGAACTGAGGAAAGATTTAGAACCAGACTAGAAACCTGGGCCTGACAGCAGGGGGAGAAAAAGAAACAGGGTGGGGACAAAGGATGAGGAGACTAGACAGACTGGGGGTGGAGGGTGGGGCAGTCAAAAGAAAGGAAGATGAGTCTTTGCCTACTTCAGTGTCCTCCTGGTTTTCATTCCTGGGTCTGGGGAGGATTACACAGCCTTTCCCTTCCTCTGCTGTCAGAAGACTGTGAAATCCACTGATAACATGCATACACTGACCCCTACTACTGCCCCTCAGTGTCATTGAAGGACAACCTTTTATTTTTAATGTCAGAGTAATTGTGGTTTGTGGCAAAGCTAGTGGGTCCAGCATTATCTCCATTATCAGTGATAGCCCCCTTAGGGTATCAGTAGAGAATTCGTGGGTTTTAAATTAGAGGAGATCAACAACATTAACACTGCTTCAGGGCAAACAATCAGTTTGGTAAGGACACCTGTAACTCTTGCTTTTCACCCTTAAGTCTCTGTTGCTTGGAGTTTGCACTTTCAGCATTCTCTTTAAGGTACAGCTACCTTTTCTTGTGTGGTGTTGTAATCTTACAGTGGTCTGTGAAGAAGTTTTCCCAAATGCCATCTGAAGTATGAAATGGCTAAAATTTGTGGCTACAATTGCGCAAGGCAGAAGGCTGGTCACATTAACGGCAGACCAAACTTCCTCTTTAGCATTAACTGGTGGTTCTTTCAGGTAATACAGCTTCTGCAGAGAAAATTAACATGTAACAGTAATGTAAGAACATGTCCTTCTACCACTTTTTGGATGGTCTGCTGTCATGTCTGTAAGCAGTGATATCTTTATGTAGATATTTGATTAGTACCAAGAGCCAAAATCTGTTTGCACAATAATTTGCTATTACTGGTATAAGGACTATATAGCAACACACAAACCCTTTTTGTCTTCAGGTTACTTTCAAAGATGAGCATATTCTCATAAAGAATTCTGTCACTTGATGCTTGATGGAAGACTACACTTGATAAAATTAATGAGGGTGTAACAAAGTGGTTCATGCAGGCATTCAGTCTCTTAATTTTTCCTGAGGGGAAAAAACAAATGTGAACTAAATAGTGATTATCGTGTAATGAGTACTGCTTTTGCATAGAAAAAGAAAGACAGATCACTGAGCAATTTTAACTTCCCAGATGCTGTATTAATTATTGTAGGTCAGTTTTGAGATAATATCCTGGACAGTGTTGGGAAAGCAATTTTTTGGCAGATAGCATTCTATTTTGGCACATGGACAGTGGATTACAGTTTTTTAAACTGCCATGAATAAATGCACTAAGCATCTCTCCAAGAAACAAACAAGATTTCACAAGAGCCATTTGGCTTAAGTTGCACTTACAGTACTTGTAACGTCAGATAATGTAGGAGATGTAGGTTCATGTGCAGTAATGGTAAACTTATGGTGTAATGGCTGAGAAAGGAGAGAACTGCAGAAAGTGTTCCACCTATGCCAGTTGTCCCATGGGTGGATGTACTGAGGTGTGGTGGAACAATAACAGCTATATCCATGACAGCACTAAATGCTGCCTCAAACTCATTTGGGATAGTTCTCCCTCCAAGGAACTTAAAGCTAATACAGCACAAGGGACTGCGTAATTTTTTTGTGCTTCTCATAGCTTTCCAGGGCCTGTCTCTCCTTCCTCAAATACTAGTGTGCTGATATCCTGTACAGTAAACTGTTTGCAAGAGGTTTAACATGTTGACTGTGCAACTGGAATTTTCTTTGTGTTCTGCATGTGATGGTCGGTCTGTGACCTGCTGCTACATGGTGTTATGCTCTGGGGACCCTACAGTGGGGCCTAGGTTTGGGGATCCATGGAAACCATCCTGAAACAAAGAGAAAACAGATGGGAGAGTGGTTGTGACATTCCTTCTGGAATACTATCAGCACAGATTTTTATTGAGAGAGAGCGTTTTGGGTTTGTTTTGGTTTTGTAGTTTTTTTTATTATTATTTATTTATTTTTACTATTTTCTAATTACCAGCTAACATATTTTACAGAAATAATGCAGAGCAAGATATTGGTTGAGCAACTGGTAGAAACTAAATTTGTGATGCAGTAAAAAACATTCCTTTTATTTTTCTTTGTAACATCTCCCTGATCTCATCTTTCCTTGCCCTTAAATGTGAAATGATGAAAGCTGCATGATGTGGTAACTTTTGTTCCTTGGGAATAATCTGTCTTTGCTATATTATATTCCTCCATGAAGTTAGCCTGGCCTTGTGCTGTAACATAGCAGTGAATGGAAAGAGTATTTTCCTCACCAACACCTATACTTTAATTACCAGTTGCAGTCCTGTGAATAATTTAGCATTCTCCAGAATTAGCCCGTATGGAAGTTACAGATCTTATGGCTCCTACAAGACAAGAGCCTAACTTAAAAGAGGATAAAGAAGATCTGCAACAGATCTTCTAATATTTCTGTTACACTTGCTAGGCAGTGTAACAGAGCAAGAGAGACAATTTTTGATTGGGAGTGGTTTGCAGTTGATGTGGAAATGCTTAGAATTGTTGCATGTAGACTTGTTGCAGTGGGCTCTTGGTGGCCCTGCTTGAGCAGGGGGGGTGGACCAGATGATCCCCAGAGCTGCCTTCCAACCTCAGCCATTCTGTGTTATGTAAAAATCCACTTCTTAAAAGTTTGTATGTGCTCTGTTCAAATGGGTTAATGGGTTTCCTAAATAACAGTAACACGTACAGACATTGGCTGCATTTTTGTGTCTGCCTAACAAGCACTGGTTTTCCCCCCACTATAGGGAAAAAGATCTCCCTATAATTTCCTAGTGTGTGTCCAAGCATTTCCAGTGCAAGAGCAACAGCTTTACCTGTAGTGGTATCATGAAACTGAAATGTGGTTTTAGTCATAAGCAGAGGATAAGTTACTTTGGGACAACTGACAGGACTACTGACTTCACACGAAGATCTTTAAACTGCCTTGATGCAGAGCCCATGCTGGGGCAGCTTGACCACCACTACCCTGGAGCTAGGAAGGACAGCTGGACCATTGACATTTTCAGCCATTAGCCTTCCAAGTGGCATGGCAGCAGGAGAGATAAATACCTAAATCATGATCTTACATTTATAATGTGGTGCTGTGAGAAAAAACCATGGTTTTATGACTGCGCTCACTAAGGAATCTCTTACCTTAGTAAATTTGGATTTCTTTGAAATCCAATATTAACTCAACTCTTTGGGCTCATGATGTTTGATTTCAGAATATTTATATATATTTTTTATTAATATCATCAATCTTCATACTGACATTGTTTATTTTCTTAGCCTGGAGTAATTTTGCTAATTTATCAATATTAATCTATATAATTTGGATACAGAGAGAGAGTGTGTCTGTGTGTCTATATATGCATCAGAGAGGAGAGTGGTGATTTTGCTAATTCTGAACTCTAACATCCATAAATATTTATACTAGGAACACTATTTCTTGTTTCTCATAAGTTGAGGTCACTACTGTATCTCATACATCTGCAATAGCTGTCTCTGCTTCTAGACAATTCAATTCTTTTTCCAAGTGCAATCATTTTGGACCATAACAAATTTGATTTCATTCCAATTTAAGCCTCACTGGATTGTTAGTTCTCTTATGTTCAGTCATCCTTGGCTGTTATGTTTC